GATGTTACTCAGGATTTTATTTTTGGCCTGTGTCTTTTTTAGTTTGCCTGTCCTGCTCCACAACCCCCATTTAGGCCTTTTTCCTAGTGATAAACAGTTCCTGGCTGGCTGTGGCCGTTTTTTGTTGCCATTTGGTTTAAAGTGGAAACTTTCTCTTTAAATTTGGAGGAGATCTGTGCACATGCATAGTAGAACCCTCCAAGGGTGGGGGAATGGGGTGTCCACTCACTCAGACACCCCCTCTAATCACCAGAATGGAGGTGTGCAGACAGTGAGAGGCCAAAAAAAGATACAAAAAAAAAATAATGTCCACACCTTTTATCTCCACGGTTCTGTCAGGCGTCTGTGGCTGCTCTGATCCTTCCTTGGTTCTCTCTCACCCAAGATGGCCACTCAGGGAGCAGCTGAGTGCCTTGGATTAGAAAGCACAGGATTTTTTGCTTCTGCTACAAATTCCTCTGGCTGTAAACCTTCCAACTTTCTAAATATCCCTTTACATGTGGTTCAGAGTTCTGGGACAATCTCCTGAGCCTGATTGGTCCAGTATTCTGTGTTATTGCTGATGGAGCTCCTCACTGCACTTCCACCCTGTCCGCCATCTTGTTTGTTCCCTCCTCTATAAATTTTAAAACAATGACATGCTCCTAAAAATCTTTTCACATAACAATGCAATAAAATTAACAATCAACTACAGGAAGAGCAAGGAAAAAAACAAAAGTTGGAAATTGACTAACACCCTGCTAAAAACTTTGTTGTTGTTGGATGCTGACTCATAGTGACCTTATGCACGACAGATTGAAACAGTGCCCAGTCCTTCACCATCTTCGCAATGGTTGCTATGTTTGAGCCAATTGTAACAGCCACTGTGCCAATCCATCTTGTTGGGGGTCTTCCTCTTTTTAGCTAACCTTCCACTTTACCAAGCATGACATTCATTCTCCAGGAGCTGATCCTTCCTGACAGCACGTCTAAAGAGCTATGGATGGAGTCTTGCCACTCTGGCTGTAATTTTTTCAAGACATCTGTTTGTTTGTTCTTCTGGCAATCGATGGTACTGTCAATATTTTCCACCAACACTATAATTCATTTTCCAGCTTTCACAAGCACATGAGGAAGTTGAAAATCCCATAACTTTGGACAGACACACCTTACTCCTCAAACTAATATCTTTACTCTTTAATGCTTTAAAAAGGTTTTGTACAGCAGATTTGTCTAATAAAATATGCTATTTGATTTCTTGATACTGCTTTCAGCAACACTGATTGGGGATCCAAGCAAAGTGAAGTCTTTGACAACTTCAATCCTTTCTCCATTTATTATTATGTTATTTATTGGTCCAGTTGTGAGGACTTTCATTTTGTTTACACTGAGGTGCAAGCCTTACTGAAGGCTGTGGTCTTTGATTTTCATCGGAATTTATTTTAAATCCTCTTCTAACAAGCAATATTATGTCTTCTGCATATCACAGGTTGTTCATGAATTGGGTAAGAAGACATAAAAAATAATTGACTAATTGCTGGAGACTTGGTGTGGACTAGTTGGATAAATAAAAACTGGTGGAAGGCTACCCTTTTCTGGATTCTACCTCTAAGAACTCCACCAGGTTTTCACTGTGAAGCAGAGAGGGAAAGTAGCCATTTTGGAATACTTTGGCAATGGCCTGCCCTCAAGAGGAACTGCTTTACCAGAAAGTCAGTTTGAGCCACATAGTCAGCAGTTCAAACTCACCAACCACTCCTTGGAAATCCTATACAGGGTCACTGTGAGTTGAAACTGACTTGATGGCACTTAACAACTGTAACAGCAATCCAACCTGGGTTTTATCAAAGCCTGACCACTTAAGTCCCTTAATGTGCCTAGCTACTAACTGAAAGATTGACCGTTCAAGTCTAACCAGAGGTGCCTTTAAAGAAATTCCTAGAGTGCTACTTGAGAAATATCAGCCTTTAAAAACCCTTTGGAGAATAATTCTATTCTGACACATAGGGGGTGTCCATCTTTATGGCAACTGGTTTACCCAACTTGGAAGAAGTGAAAATCCTGGCCCCAGCTCCTTCTTTCAAATGAAGGAAGAGAATTATCAAATGCCAGCCTCCTTCTAGCTTCTGCTAATCTATAAAACTGCCCTGCCTCCTGCAGCAATGCAAGTGGGGGAAAGGAAATACCCAAGTCCAGCCTCTAAAATGCTTCCCATGCCACTTACCCCTTCCCACATCAATATCAGTAGAACTTTATGAAGGACTAAGATGGAAAGAGCCTCAGTTCCTCTTACTTGGTTTATCATGTCTGGCTTTCAACCAAAAATTAGAAGGCATCTTAAGAGGCAAAAATCCAACACAAGTGTAACCTTCCTTATTACGCATCCCGGTCACCCTCTGGTAGAACTATCTATTAAAATCAACTTCCATTGGAGTATTTATTATATCAAGTCATGCCTGCTTACTTAATATGAGCCTGTCCCCACTAAGCTGCTGATGTGTTAGAGTCTGAAAGAACAGAGCCACCGTCTCAACCCTCTATTCCTACACTTAGTACAACAGCTGCTTCATGGGTGCTCAATAAATTATGGTTGAATTGAAGTTGTTTCCAAGGACTGACTGGTTAACTGAATCATAATATCTAATAGATGATGGTTTCTAAAGCTTCAGAGGCATATTGAGTTAAAGAAGAAATGCTCCAAAGACTAGAGGCTGGATATCTTAAATGCAACTAAATGAAAAACAGTATCAAGAAATTTCAACTCAAATGTCCAAGAAAGAAGGCTGAAAACAACATGTCTGAAGTAAGGAATCGGAGTGAGAAGAGAACAGTATGGTTAAATGGATTCCATATAACCTTGTAATGTAGTGGATTGAGAGCTAGGTTGCTAACCATGAGATCAGCAGTTCGAATCTGCCAGCCACTCCATGGGAGAAAGATGAGACTTTCTGCTCCTATAAAGATTTACAGCCTCAGTAACACTATACAGGCTCTCTATGAGTCTGAGCTGACTAGACGGCACACAACCACCAACCACCACCACTGCGTGCTCCAAGGAACCCTGGTGGTGCTTTGGGATAAGAACTGGACTGCTAAAGTGGGAAGTTCAAACCTAACAGCCATTCTGAGAGAGAAAGATGAGACTTTCTGCTCCTGTGAAGACTTACAGTGTCGGAAACCCTATACAGGGTCACTATGAGTTGGAGTCAACCATTCTGACTCCCTGGCAGTGAGTGTTGGTGTGCTCTGAATTAGATGCTTGTCAGGAGTTACAACAGTAACAAACGTTCTTCTTTTACCAAAATTCAAGAAGGGTATCAAGACAACTTGCTTTGTCTTTTCAATTCCTATGAAGTTACTCAGAGAGTATTCATACAGTCACTTCCAGACTTCTACTCTACCCCAATCCAGGCACTCAATTTCTCTGTTTCTAGGAAAGCAAGTACCTTTGGAAATCAATTTCCAAGTGTGGTGTAGTGAATCATTTAACATGTTCCTTCTAGACTTGAGAGCATAGTGGCTCTGTAAGATAAGCATTAGACTATGAACCACAAGGCCTGTGGTTCACGCCCACTTCTCTCACTCCTCTGGAGAAAGAAGATGCTCCCTGCTCCCACAGAGATATACAACCTCGGAAACCCTATACAGGGTCACTATGAATCCTGGCATGGCACTATGGGTCAATGAGCTGGACTGCAAGGTCAGTTTAAACTGCAAGGTCGGAACTTCATGTTCACCAGATGGTCCTTGGAAACCTTATACAGAGTTGCTAAAAATTGGAACAGACTCAATAGCACTTAACAACAACAATAAGAAGAGTCAGGATGGATTCAATGATACTTAACAACTTCTAGCCTTAGTCTTTGTAATTTCCACTAAACAACAATTTTTGTCCTGATGGGTCTGGATAAAAGAAGGTGGGAGAAGTTGCTGACAGGATTATATGATTCAGTTGTGAGAGGTAAACAGTTAGTTGTTAATATTGTAAAATTCTGGAACTCTAAAGAGTATAAAACGAGCCATCTCAGGAGCACGAAGAAGGGATCTCAGTATCATCAAGGAAGAACAGTCAGGAGTGGAGCATGACTGTTGAACCCTGAGACCCCTGCTCATTGAACCTCCTTGTCTGAGGGACAGAAAGCTGTGACACTCGAGGAGTGGCAGAGGAGGAGCAGCAGCAGCAGCAGAAACAAGAACCAGAGCACAAGACAGAGCAGTGAGCTTCCCAGTCCACGGAGCTTGCTAGCTGAGTGACTTAGGACTGGAAACTTGCTTGCCAAATGAGATGTCTCCAAGCACTTAATTGGGGGCTAGGAAAGGGGGTTGCTGATCCATGGAGCTAGAACCAAGTGCCTGTAGTCTGAGGCTTATAGTTGTTGTTGTTAAGTGCCATCGAGTCGGTACCAACCCATAGCAACCTTATGCACCACAGAACGAAACACTGCCCGATCCTGGGCCAGCCTCACTACTGTTGCCATGCTTGAGTCCATTGAATGTCAGCTTGAGAACTAAGGTGCGCCTGACCCAAGCCATGATATTTTCAATAACCTCATATGCATGTGAAAGTTGGACAGTGAATAAGGAAGACCATAGAAGAATTGATGCCTTTGAGTTATGGTGTTGGAGGGGGCTTATAGTGGAGGGGTATATCCTGTGGGCATTTTATCAGTAACCCTAAAAGAATTTTGCAACATTGGCAAGGCAGAGAGAGGTCTGTCTGTGGGCACAGCTAAAGAGAGCCTGTCCAAACTAGAGCAACTGTGTCCTCAGCATTTCTGACCCTGAATTGTAACCATTCACTTCCCTAATAAACCCCATAATTGTAAATAAGTCTCTGAGCGTTGCGTGACCATTGCAATGAATTATTGAACCAAACTAAGTAGAGTATGCCAAGGCAGAAATGGTGGGTGTCACATATTTTTACAACCATCATCAGTCATTCTTATGCTTTTGGGTTTGTTTTTTTTGTGTTTTTGCACTTTTATGGTTTTATTTAGCACAAATAAAACTCAAAAACAGACTGTCTCTTCATTTTCTTCACTATGTAGCCTGGCATTGGTATTAGTGACGCTGATGACCAGCTGGGCTGCTCTCTCCACAATGGCTTTGCGGTTCTTGGAGGAAATGCTGTGAGCAGTTTCTAAACTGTAAGATTTGTTGTACATTAGTAGTACTGCAAGCTCTTTGACATTTTGGACCAGGAACTTGCAGAAGCCACTAGGCAGCATGAGTTTTGTCTTCTTGTTGCTCCCATAACCAATGTTGGACAATAAGATCTGGCCCTTAAATCTTCTCCGCACCCTGTTGTCAATGCCTCTGGGCTTGTGCAAGTTATGCTTAATTTTGACATAACGATCTGATTGGTGGGGCGTGAACTTCTTGGTCCTCTTTTTGAGGATCTTGGGCTTCACCAGAGGTCTGAGGGCAGCCATGATGCCAGTCGAGATGGCCACCTCCTCCATAGGCAACGAAAAGAAGAGCATTCTTAAGCATTTTTAAGCTACATTCCAGCTAACCACTTGGAATCCTGATGTGGCACTATAGGATAAGCATTGAACCCACTAGCCACTCCTTGAAAACCCTATACTAGTTTTCTATGAGTTAGGAACTGACTTGAGGGCACTTAACAATAATCTACTTAACCTAGAACCTAGTCCTAAAATAGTTTGCTCCTGAATCATTAAGCCCCACTGGAACAAGGACTTAGACTTGGTCTCCACAAAAGGAGGAATAGCTAGAGTTTTCTCTCATTCCTGTATTTCTTCTCTGAGGCCTTCCTGTTTGTCTGAAAAGATTTCCCTAATGAGTATGCCTCACTTGACATCCATCCGTAGCTGTCAAATCTGTAAACATGGTCCTAGTGTGGCATCTCAGAAATCTTTGTACCTGCTTCAAACTGATTTATTTCTCAAAGAATTCCTTTTTCTTTCTTTTCTTCTCTATGTCCTCATTCTCCTGACCTTCTCCTCATTGTAGAGGTCCTATGTCAGAGTCTAGCCTCGACAAGGAAGTGTGGGTGTGATGAAGAAGTGAGATCTGGTGGCGAAAGGGATAGAGAAAGAGAGAAACGAAATATATACAAAAAAGACAGACACACAGATATGATGCAAGCTGACAGGTAGGCAGATCTGCAAACATATTGCCTAGCATTGCACACAGAGCTCACTCTACCTCAGTCTTTTATTCTCTTTTTTGGGGAGGGATTTGTTACAAAGGAAGGATGTAATTCACAAAGGGAGGATGTGATTCTTTAGATAAGATAGGATATAGAACTGAAATGTGATTAATCATTCAAAATAGGACATAATGATTCACAGGAACTTTTAAGATATTTTCATGGTTTTCTTAACAATCTAACATTTTTATTTTTACAGAAAAAAGGTTCAATCAAGCTGCTATATATTAACTTTTAGGCTTAAATGATCTAGAGCAGCGATGTGCAGTTTCTCAAGGATACTTAACATATAGCAAGGTTCCTGAAAGGAGCCAAGCTGTCTGTACACTTTGCAAACTTTTGTTTGTGAGCAAGCTATCAGGCACCAGGCTTCATTTATCTATATCTAAAATGCTACATTGTTCTCAATTATCACATTTCTATATACTTTCAGGAGGAAGGAGAGCATCTGGGTTAAACTGATTAAATTCAGAGGCCGTTTAATGGGGCTGCCACTATTATCCTCTAATCCGACATTCCCAGAATTTACCATTCCACTCTATTTACAAACCTTGTAGTTTTTCTCTAAAAACCTTTTCTCATATTCCCAATATACCTGTTCCTGGCCTTTCTGAATTATCTGAGGAAACTTTTACTGCCTCGGCTCTAAAAAGGGGTTTCAAACCCATTATTGTTCATGGATATCAAACATAACTGAATAATCAAATAAGGAGCAGTTCTGACATTCATCACAGGTGGCTATCGTTTGTTCCTCAGAAAGATTTGTTCCCAGGACTCCATGCACTGCCAACACAGTGGAGGCATTAAGAGACGCATTGTAAAAGAAACCATTTTCTCAGAAGCTACAATTACTGGAGTTAGAAGAATAGAATGAATAATATTAGGACCAAAGAAAATTATACAGAGGTAGCCAACCAGTGAGTTCGCAAAAACCAATGAACCCGGGACGTCAGGAGGTCACTTCCTTTGGCCCTCAGGGTCCATGGCTTGCTATCCTGAGGAGGGCCACAGAATTGGATTTTTGTCCATGTCACAGAGTCACTGATTAACCCAGGGTCTGCGTATGCTGACACCAGCACCTCATCTCTCTCTCTTTCTCACAGGCATTCATTCACACACAGAATTCATAGATGCAAATCTCCATTTGTTCTTCTTTCCCCAAAATTACAGATGTTAACAATGTACACATGTATAGCTAAGATAGCACCAGACTTTCAAAACAGAAGTCGTTTCAGAAGTATTTGGGCAATCAATGGGGGGAGAAAAAAAAGTCTGTAACACTCAAGTAACTAATTGGAAAGAAAGAAGTTCAAGCTGAAGCAAGAGAAAAACTTCATTTCCTTAGCATTTACAGAGTGTATGCTGGCCTTAGTTCTAGAGTGCTTACGTGTGCAGAAGTGACAGAAATAAAAGATGGAGATTTACAGTGGGATGAGATATCTATCTCTTAATAAAAACCAGCATAACAATTGCAGATAAATACCAAAGAGATGTCAGAGGGAGATGAATATACAAAGCGTTTTCAGAAATAGTTTGACTCTGTTCTCTGTAGAAATATGAGACTAGTGTATACTTGGACAAGATATGACTCAAAATCTAACTCCTAATAGTTTTAAAATATATTTATTTCTACACAAAAATATTATTAACACTGTATTCCACGACATTATTCCTGTCTCAGTGGCCATAATACTGTATTTCCAATATGTACTTTTGTTACTCCCTATTATTTGTTTTGTATTCCCCTAAATTCCAAGGTTTTTCATTTGGATTCATTCTAAAATCAATTTGCTGCTGTAGACCTCATCTACAAGGTAAGTCAAATAGTACTACTCCTAGGGTGCCAGTTCATACATGCACAGGTTAATTACAAATAAACCATGTTTCAACATGTCTCTGTGACCCATGGGTGGCTACAGACACGTTCTCTCAGTAATACAATTATCTTAGTCATCTTTTATACTTTGGGCGTATTGTCAGGTGGGACCAGTCACTGGATAAGGATATCATGTTTGGTAAAGTGGAGGGCCAGAAAAAATGAGGAAGACCCCCCAACGAGATGAATTGGCAATATGGTAGCATCAATGGGCTCAAACATAGCAACGATCGTGAGGTTGGACCAGGATCGAGCAGTGTTTTTTTTCTGTTGTGCAGAGGGTCGCTATGAGTTAGTACTGACTGGATACCATCTAACAACAACAACAGTCTCCTTTGAGTGCCTTCCAAAAAGAACCAATCAAAACAGTGGATCCCTAGGGTTTCTGCTGAACCAGTTAAATGCGAAACAGGGAGGTCGGCTCAGAAGGTTATGGTCACTATTTTCGCAGGGATCTCAAAGGGGTCATCTTGATAGATTTTCTCAAAGAAAATTAAAAATGCATTGGTGAGAAAAAGTTCAGGAAAGTTATGCTGATAATTGTTTGTTTTTTTCCCCACCAGAACTGCGCACCTGCTCATTCTTCAAGAGTAGCAAGGGATTTCTAGGAGAATCTCCTTGGGAAACCTTAGCCCATCTACTCTGCAGCCCTGATCTTGCGCCTTCAGACTTCTTTTGTTCTTACAAAACTCAAAGAATATTGAAAAGAAATACAATTTGGGTCCCCCAAAGATTTAAAACTGCCATTTTAATGTGGTATAAATCAAGGAGCACAGAGTTCATTGGAGACAGAAATATCATTTTCAGATATGTAAGGACCTAGATGTAGGACATGTTGAGAAACAATAGCTTCACAACAGTAGCTTCACATTTTGATAATTTTGCTTAATAAAGTATCTTAGCTATATAGAGAACAATTCATATCACATTCAAGTAAAATTTTTCTGAAGGTTATTAAAAAATGGTTGCAGCAGTACATCAACAGGGAGCTGCCAGAAATTCAAGCAAGACTCACAAGAGAAATACCATTGCTGATATCAGATGGATCTTGACTAAAAATAGGGAATACCAGAAAGATGTTTACTTGTGCTTTATTGACTGTACAAAGGCACTCAACTGTGTAGAACATACCAAACTATATACAACATTGGGAAGAATGGGTATTCCAGAACTCTCTGTGCTCATAAGGAATCCATACATAGACCAAGAATAAGGGGATACTGAATGACTTCTATATTGTAATCTGAGGCTTGATATTTTTTCTTCAGTCCTTTCAGGTCTTTGCACATTTCATTATAATACTTGACTTTGTCTTTGTCTTCTCAAGCTGCCCTTTGGAATTTTCTGTTCAATTCTTGTACTTCATCATTTCTTCCAATCACATTAGCTTCTCTATGTTCAAGAGCAGGTTTCAGAAACTCTTCTAACATCCATTTTGGGCTTTTCTTTCTTTCCTGTCTTTTAAATGACCTTTTGCTTTCTTCATTATCATTATTGTGGTCTTCCCACAATGACCCTGTTTTTTGGTCATTGATGTCTAATGCATCAAATGAATTCTTGAGATGGTCTCTGAATTCAGGTGTGATATACTCAAGGTTGTATTTTGGATCTCCTGAACTTGTTTTATTTTTCTTAGTTTCAGCTTTAACTTCTGTGTGAGCAATTAATGGTCTGTTCCACAGTCAGCCCCTGGCAATTCTTTGAAATTAAGTTGTTCCATCCTCCCTTCCCATAGATGCAATCAATTTGATTCCCATGCCTTCCATCTTGTGAGGTCCATGTATATAGTCAACAATTATGTTATAGTAAAAAAGTTATTTGCAAGAATTCATTGGTCTTGCAAAATTCTATCATGCAATTTCCAGCATCATTTCTATCACCAAGGCCATATTTTTCCAATTACTGATCTTTCCTTTTTATTTCCCCCTGTTTTAACTCAAATCACTTATGATTATCAATACAACCTGATTGCATGTTTGATCAGCTTCAGACTGAAGAAGCTGGTAAAATTCTTCAATTTCATCATCATTAATTTCAGTGATTTGCATGTCAATTTGAATAACAGTGGTATTAATTGGTTTTCCTTGTAGGCATACAGATGTTATCCTATCACAAACAGCATTGTACTTCAAGATTGATCTTGAAGTGTTCTTTTTGACAATGAATGCAATACCATAGTAAACAGCATAGTAAACCATGTTTATCTGATTCAGAATGGTCAATACCATTCCATGTCAGCTCACTAATGATTAAGATATCAATCTTTATTAGTTCCACTTCATTTTGGACAACTTCCAATTTTTCTAGAGTCCTAGATTCCAAGTTCCAATTATTAATGGATGTTTGCAGCTGCTTCTTCTCATTTTGAATTGTGCCCCATC